TGTTTAGCATCTCAACCGATTTGAATCGTCACATATTTAAATCGATTTTCAACCAGCTCGCGGTTAATCGTTACATCCCTAATACTGAGTTGTATAAAATAGTTTTTTTTTTTTTTTTACTAAATTCTAGGTGACTTTCTTTGTATATGATCCACAGGACAGAAACAGACATGAATTTGTTTAATAAAATGATATTTTAATCAAACTTTGTGTACTTAATATGTCTTTATTATGCATTAACCATTTTCAAATGCAATAAAGCACTCAGGATTGTGCTGTATTGTGAATATAAACACACTAACAGCATCCTTTGACCATGATTTTATTCACAATACAGCACAGGTTCTCATGCTTTATTGCTTAATTTATCATTATAAAGTGAGTATTCATATTTGAACAAAAGATGCCTGTTTATTACAAGCAAAAACAGCATAATTTCTCTTCGAATACTGTGTGAAACTAATGCTATGCTCTCAAAATGACAGTTTTCTTAAAGGAACACTCCACTATTTTTGAAAATAGGCTCATTTTCCAACTCCCCTAGAGTTAAACAGTTGAGTTTTACCGTTTTCGAATCCATTCAGCCGATCTCCGGGTCTGGCGGTAGCACTTTTAGCAGTAGCTTAGCATAGATCATTGAATCGGATTAGACCGTTAGCATCTCGCTCAAAAATGACCAAAAAGTTTCGATATTTTTCCTATTTAAAACTTGACTCTTCTGTAGTTACATCGTGTACTAAAACCGACGGAAAATGAAAAGTTGGGATTTTCTAGGCCGGTACGGCAGCACCAAGTTCCTTGATTATTACGCCGGAATGAGAGTATAGTTCCTAGCCAAATCGCAACTTTTCATTTTTCGTCGATCTTAGTAAGTGTCGAGTTTTAAATAGGAAAAATATAGAAACTCTTTGGTCATTTTTGAGCGAGATGCTAATGGTCTAATCAGATTCAATGATCTATGCTAAGCTACAGCTAAAAGTGCTACCACCAGACCCGGAGATCGGCTGAATGGATTCGAAAACGGTAAAACTCAACTGTTTAACTCTAGGGGAGTTGGAAAATGAGCCTATTTTCAAAAATAGTGGAGTGTTCCTTTAAGGTCTGCTTCAGTGAGGGGAAACGATGCGATGACTTCAGGGTGTTTCGAGCTCTTTACTGACACAGTTAAAAGCTCTGGGGGAAAAAGTGAAATGGTGCTATAACAGGAACACCTCAACGTCCATTTGTCTAGAAGTTTCCATGCCTTTGTTTTGAACTCATTTTGACACAAAACTGGCAGTAAAAGCATCTCAGTCCGTTTCTGTGTGGGAGATGATACGGAGAAACCCGTATCTTGCCTCCATTCGCCTGTCACACTGAAAGACAAAACAAAGCACACAGGATTACACAGAAACACAGTATTAGCTGCAGTTATTGGCCAGCATTGCTGGAGATGACAAGGACAGAACTAAAGACATAAGAGATGATTCTGGTTGGATTTATGCTTTGATTTTCAATATTTTTCAGTTACCACGCTTTTAGGAAACATCTAAATTAATAGCCCACAAAATACATTAGGATGTTTCATCATCTTCAAATAAACAATGTATTTCATGAAGCAATGAATTTCATGAAATGATGATTAAAACTAATATCTGACTCAAAAATGTTAAGATTTTTTTTTTGTCTTTGTAATCTTTCATCAAAAATCTAGGTATGCCCACTTGGATCTAATGATTATTAAATACCACTTTAATAATTAAAAATTAATTACTGATGGATAAGAGTCCAAACTATATTTTTTCCTCATTGAATTTTACTCAGAAATGTGTCACATTACAAAAGTAAAATGTTTTAGTAATTGTTTTTTTTGTATTGAATGTTGATTGTTTTCATTTTTATATTTTTCATTTTCATTTTTGTTTTAGTAATTTTGTTGTTTTTTAAATGTCTATATATGATTTAAATTTTAATTAATATTTTAAATTTTGGCTTTTTATGTAAACAGTTACAAATGACTTATGAAATGTGACACTGTACAATTTTTGAAATTATATGGTAATTTTAGTAAAGGTTTTTGAAAATCTTTTAAAATGTTAGCACAAATGCATTCATTATTCATTTACTAAAGAAGTGTTTTAGTAAATATATTGTTTTAAACAATATAAGCTTTTAGACAAAATGATCATGTATAGTTACCATTAGTTGTTGGCCATAAAGAAAATGTTTAATATATTTATAATTTAATAAAATGTATTTGTTTATTTATTTATTTTTAGATTTTATATTATGCATTCTTAATGCATTATTTAAATGTGCATATATATATATATATACATATATATTATATAAAAGTAATATATATATTTAAATATATTTAATGTAATATATTAGTAGATAAAAAAATAATACCTTACACACACACACACAAATATATTACTCACCAGAATATTCAGCTTGCTTTCTAATTGGCTGACAGAGCTGTCAGACAGCTTGATTGGCTGATTACGCCCGGCATGTGAAAAAGTTCGGCTCGGAGGGCCACAAGAACAGATGAAGGGCTTCTGACAAGGCACCTGATGCCCATGGCCAAGCACTCTGGGGCCTGACCCGGTGCATTCTGGGACTGGCCCTGTGCATTCTGGGAAGGGCGGGCTGGGGAGGGGTAGCAGCTGTCTTTCACTAGTCTCACTCCATGGGAAGGAGTGGGTCCTGTGAGGAAAACCAGACGTCAAGCTGAATAAGCATTCGTCACTAAAAAGTCATTTGGAGGCGAGGGAGAGATGAAATCACAGCCGACTGAAAAACCATCCCCCTGTAAGCAGTAAAAGCATGAGTCAGGACGCACCTAGTGTTTGAGAGCGGGAGACGGGCCGCGGGCGGAGGACGAGAGAGGTGCTGGAGAGCCAGGAGAGAGTGAATCATGGGACGCTGAAGGAGAAGGAGATCTCACTTTCTCCTGAAAGCACAGAGAGTAAAACAACTAAACCATGTCCACAGAAACGTCTCTTTTTCTTTTTTTATAATAATTTTAATAATAAAACTATTAGATATAATATCTAGGGCCTTATGAAATACATTTTATTTTTCCCAAAATTCTGTGGTTTTTAATTAAAAAGGATGTCTAATCAACTGAAGACACACAACGTTAACAATGTAAGAATTTGAACAATAATAGGACAATATGAAATACATATTTTTTCTTTCATTTTGTTTTATTCTGTGTCCTGTTTTAATTTTCCTGGATTACGCTTTTAACGGTTTAATTAAATTTTATTAAGAAAATGTCTAATTAGTTAAATTAACAATATTTTAACAATGTAATAATTTATTACAGTTTTAACAATAACAGGGCTCTATGAAAAGTGTTTTATGTTTTTAAAAATTCCATGTTATGTTTCCACAATTTCTGTGTTTTCTTTTTTAATTTTTCTGGATTAGGTTTTTAATTTTTTTAATTAATTTTTAATAATCAAAAAGGATGTCTAATCAATGAATTCCTACAATTTTAACAATAAGATGACCCTATGAAATGCATTTCAATTTTTCAAAAATGCCATGACTTGCTTTTTCATTTTTCTGGATTAGGTTTTTAATGGTTTATTTAAATTGTATTAATCAAAACAGGATCTCTAACCTACTGAACTCACAAAATTTTAACAAAATAATAATTTCTTAACATTTTAACAATAATGCTGCCCTATGAAAGTCTGTCTTCAGAAATTCTGTGTTGTCTGTTTGATTTTTTCTGGATTCTGTGCTTTATGATTTAATACAAATTTATTTTTAAAAATGGTGGTAATTGAGTCAGGAAGTGTTTGAGAGCGGGAGACGGGCCGCGGGCGGAGGACGAGAGAGGTGCTGGAGAGCCAGGAGAGAGTGAATCATGGGACGCTGAAGGAGAAGGAGATCTCACTTTCTCCTGAAAGCACAGAGAGTAAAACAACTAAACCATGTCCACAGAAACGTCTCTTTTTCTTTTTTTATAATAATTTTAATAATAAAACTATTAGATATAATATCTAGGGCCTTATGAAATACATTTTATTTTTCCCAAAATTCTGTGGTTTTTAATTAAAAAGGATGTCTAATCAACTGAAGACACACAACGTTAACAATGTAAGAATTTGAACAATAATAGGACAATATGAAATACATATTTTTTCTTTCATTTTGTTTTATTCTGTGTCCTGTTTTAATTTTCCTGGATTACGCTTTTAACGGTTTAATTAAATTTTATTAAGAAAATGTCTAATTAGTTAAATTAACAATATTTTAACAATGTAATAATTTATTACAGTTTTAACAATAACAGGGCTCTATGAAAAGTGTTTTATGTTTTTAAAAATTCCATGTTATGTTTCCACAATTTCTGTGTTTTCTTTTTTAATTTTTCTGGATTAGGTTTTTAATTTTTTTAATTAATTTTTAATAATCAAAAAGGATGTCTAATCAATGAATTCCTACAATTTTAACAATAAGATGACCCTATGAAATGCATTTCAATTTTTCAAAAATGCCATGACTTGCTTTTTCATTTTTCTGGATTAGGTTTTTAATGGTTTATTTAAATTGTATTAATCAAAACAGGATCTCTAACCTACTGAACTCACAAAATTTTAACAAAATAATAATTTCTTAACATTTTAACAATAATGCTGCCCTATGAAAGTCTGTCTTCAGAAATTCTGTGTTGTCTGTTTGATTTTTTCTGGATTCTGTGCTTTATGATTTAATACAAATTTATTTTTAAAAATGGTGGTAATCAACTGAATGCATAAAATTTCAACAATTTAATAAATCTTTTAAAATGTCATCAAATAAATTGGACAAATTGCCTTCACTCTTTGGCCAACAAAGTGCTGCACAACAGAGGTTTATTGTTTATATTAAAACATGGATAAAATTGTGTGATATTCCTTTAAAAAATTAATAAACTGTATTATTATTGTTATTATTACTTTAAGAAAACCAAACTTTTATTTTGGGGAGTTGTAGTCTGTGTGTCTATGATGATATTTTCTCAGTGAAATGGTGAATTGCTGGCAATGAGACTCTCAGAGCAGCTCTGGAGATTAAGTTCATGTGTTCATGTCCTCAATAAACACCACCTCATATTTCAGCAGCAGTCTTTTGCGGTTCAATATCACAGACACTAATCCATATTGTGATTTGATTAAATGTACAGCCCTACTTTTGATCGGTTCATCCTAATTTTGGCAAATACCGTGACTTTCCACATTATACGGGAAAAATCCATTTGCATGACTGGATTCTGTATTATAGGGTCCTAGATATATTTGATAAACTATAATTTACCAAACCATTTAAATAGCATGAAAAGGACGTAGTTAAACACATCAATGGTCTGTTTCAGACCCTATTTTATGGGAAATGTTGAGTATTTGTATGAATTATTTCCTAATGAATCCATCTGTGACCCGCTCCGTACCTGAGTGGGGCTCCTGCAGAGTCCGGGCGAGTGTGGCTGAGATTGAGGCGAGGAAGAGCCTTCTCTGGACGGATTCTTCCTGAGCACCGGGGAGCTGTTCAGTCCGTTCCCTTCCGTCGATCTGGGAGAGACTCCTGCGGGTGACGCACTTTTCTGCAAACACAGACAGTACAAGATGTCATCAAAAACTTCAACTCATGCGACCTTTAAAGGGGTCCTATTATGCTCTTTTACAAAGTCTTGATTTTGTTTTGGGGGTGTACTAGAACAGG